AACCTAGTTTCTGCTTCTAAACTCGATAAAAACGGGTTTGGACTCAACATAGGGTTTCGACTTAACATAGATTATGGAAAGCTCGTGATTTACAAAAGAAAATTTTTTGTTGGTAAGGGATACTACCTTCTTGGTTTGTATCGCCTAAATTTGAGGGATGATGATGATGAGGTCGGACCAAGTGGATCTGCGAGTAGTAATGTTAATGTTGTGACTGATCAAGTAGTTGGTTTTTTCGTTTCTACAATTGATGTAATTCCCGACTCAATCAATAAAGTTAATTCCTTGAATTATTTTGTTTGTTCTATCTCATTATGGCACAAACATTTAGCTCATACAAATGTGAAAAATATTGAAAAAATGCAAAATAAAGGATTGATCAAAATTGACAACAAGTATATTGGAAAATGTGAAACTTGTGTAAAATCAAATTTTACAAAGAAACATTTTCCTTCAGTTAAACGTGACACATCAATTTTAGAGTTAATTCATTCCGACATTTGCGAATTAAATGGAATTCTTACCCGTGGAGGTAAAAGGTATTTCATTACATTATGCGATGACTTCAGCCAGTTTTTACATGTTTACTTATTACACACAAAAGATGAAGCTTTTTGAGGCTTTTAAATTATATAGAGCTGAAGTAGAAAATCAACTTGAAAAATGAATCAAAATACTTCGATCAGACAGAGGTGATGAATATTTTAATAGAGAATTTGATACATTATGTGAAGAGAATGGAATCAAACATGAATGCACCTCACCATTTACTCCTCAACAAAATGGTTTGGTGGAAAGAAAGAACCGAACCCTTGCTGAAATGGTCAACTGTATGTTGAACCAATCGAGTCTGCCAAACAATTTATGGAAAGAAGCCCTATTGACTGCTTGCCATATTCATAACAGAATCACTAGTCGTGTGATTCCAACGAGTCCATACGAGATCTGAAAAGAAAGGAAACCAAACTTGAACTATTTTAGAGTTTGGGGATGCATTGCCTACTATCGAACCCCTGATCTAAAAAGATCTAAATTAAGAACTCGTGATATTAAAAGCGTATTCGTTGGATATGCTAGAAATAACAAGGCTTATAGATTATTGGATAGGGACTCAGAAGTCATAGTAGAATCTAGAGATCTGGAGTTCTTTGAAGATAAGTTTTCAGATGATGCTGAAAACTCAGTACCAACATTGACCTCTAATCTTCCTTGCATATCTCGTGATAGTTCGAAGACCTCAAATAAGGTTAACGAACCACGTAGAAGTACACTAGAAAGAAAAGAGAAAAGCCTAGGAGATGATTTCTTCTCATACTTAGTAGAAGGAACGCAAAAGAATGTGATGAGAGAGGTCATTTTCTCCATCAATATAGAAGATGATCCTAAAACTTTTAAAGAGGCTATGACTTCAAGGGATGCTCCACTACGGAAAGAAGCAATAATTGATGAAATGGACTCTATCATGGGTAACGGTACTTGAGAATTGTTTGATTTACCCAAGGGAGCAAAACCCATAGGTTCTAAATGGTTATTCAAAAGGAAGCTACATCCAGATGGTTCAATTTCCGCTTTCAAGACTAGATTGGTAGCTAAAAGGTATAGATAGAGAGAGGGAGTCGATTATTTTGACACCAATGCTCCAGTTGGTAGAATTAGTTCTATTCGAACTCTTGTAGCAATTTCAGCCATAAAAGGTCTGTACATCCATCAAATGGATGTAAAGATAGCCTTTTTGAATGGCTATCTAAACGAAGAGGTTTATATGGAGCAACCTAAAGGGTTTGTGGTACCCGGACAAGAGAACAAAGTGTATAGACTTATAAAATCTCTATACGGGTTAAAACAAGTCCCTAAACAGTGGCATGAAAGATTTGATACGACTATCACTTCTTTCAGATTCCAACATAATGGGACAGATGCATTTACTCAAAATGCACGAGAAGATCCACTGTGGTAATTGTCTTTATGTAGATGATATGTTGATCATTGGAACCAATCTAGAAGGTATCCTTGAAACTAAAGGCTACTCATCCTTGAACTTTAAGATGAAAGATCTTGGAGAAGTACATACCATCCTTGGGATAAAAGTCAAAAGATTAACATCTCAAATCTCTCTAAGTCAATCCCACTACATAGAGAAGATACAAACCAAGTTTCAACATTTGAATATAAAGGAGTTTAACACTGCATTTGATTCAAGTGTGAAACTCGATAAAAACACTGGTAGAGCAGTGACTCAACTAGAGTATGCTAGTGCAATAGGATACATGATGTATGTGATGCATTGCACTAGACCGGATATTTCTTTCGCAATGAGTAGACTGAGTCAATATACTAGCAATCCCAGTCCAGATCACTGGAAAACTATCAATAGAGTATTGGGTTACTTGAAGAGAACCAATGCTCTAGAGTTAACATAAACGACATATCCAAGAATCTTAGAAGGGTATTCTGACGCCAGTTGGATAGATCACTCTAGTGATTCTAAATCCATAAGTGGGTGGATTTATACCCTTGATGGTGGGGCAGTTTCTTGGGCGAGGAAGAAACAATTGTGTATAGCCTATTCGACTATGGAAGTCGAACTTATTGCCATAGCTGCTGTGGGCAAAGAGGCCTAATGGATCAGAGATCTATTAACATATATCCATTTATGGCCTCGACCAACTCCTTCTATTCCCATGTATTGTGACAGTGAGGCCACACTGTTAAAAGTATACAATGTTGTGTATAATGGGAAGTCATGACATATAGGTCTCCGACATAATTTCGTAAGACAATTAATTAATGATGGTACCATAAGTATTGTGTATGTCAAGTCTTATAGGAACTTGGCAGATCCGCTAACCAAGCCTCTGACGAGAGACGTAGTAGGATCAACTACCAGAGACTTGGGTTTGAAACCACGTAGAATCAGTTAGTGATGGAAACCCAACTTGAATTTAGTGCTCATATCTATCAAGTTTAAAGGGTAACAACAAGTCACTAACTAATAGAAGGTACTATCGACTGATAGATCCATGTAAGGTAAATGATAGTACGGTGTTGCCGAGAATAAGGATGAGTTAATCTCTTAACAAAGTTTATAGGCATCTTAGCAACAAAGATGTTATAGAAATTTGCCTATATGACTAAGAGGTGGTGCCGCCTCAAAAGGAGAGTAGTAGTTCCTCTCCTAAAAGGTCATGAAACATGGTTTAGCACATGGCCATATTCGCGCTCAGTGAGAAATCAAAGATGTAAGATTATGTGTGTAAGTAAGCTGGAGAGATCACAAGATTCAAGGTTTGAATCCTAAGGATACAATTGAATGGATCTCTCCTTGCATACTTGCATAAAACAAGGTTTAATCTTAGTGATACCACTGTGACATTATCTAAGTGAATGTCAGAAAACTTTCCAACGTAATGGAGGATTGTTGGAAATTATATGTGAGGTTGGAGGTTTTCCTCCATCCCACATTGGTAGATAAAGATTCTCTAGAGAAACTGATAAGTCTTTCTCTACAATTGGGCTTTGAACATATGGGTAGACTCATGGTGGAGGTCTTGAGTGGAAGGCCCAACGCACACGCGCGTGTGTGGCCTAGGCCGAGGGCGCGGGCGCGAGATTCGCGAAAGTGGAGCGAGGAGGCGCACTTCGCACGCCGCATCGAAGCATAAGGAGCCTCGCCTCGAGCTCCGAGTATCTTTTGATATATCATCGAGAGAGATGGGAAGCGATTTTTCCTGAAAAATCGGATTTTTAAACCGAGTTGACCAAGTTGCTTGGAGATAAAGATTGTTGGAGGATAATCCTCCAACTAACCATGATCCTCCGTTTTTTGGGGATGAGATCGTGGGGATTTTAGGGTTTTCCCCAGTATAAATACTGGGTAGAAACCACCCTTATGAATTACTTAAGAAAATTATCGCTTCCTCTCTCGAAATTCTGCTCCTACCCGTTCTCTCTCTACCGAATTTCTGCATCCATCTTGCTTTAATTTTTGGTTTTCATCGTTGTTGAAAAAACGAAAACGTGTATTGCATCAAATTCTGGGGCTTTGCGACTGGCAGACTTACAACAACAAAAGAGTAGTCGTATAAAACCTTTAAGGATAGGTTTTGTACCGTGCTAATCTCTACATTTACGTACTTCAAGAAAACCAGGTTGGTATTTATTTTTTGGGATTGTATTTAATTTTCGTTCACATAGTGAACACTCTGCTTTTACCCCTTTCTACCATTGAGTCTATCGCGAAGGATAGATTCAAACTCGTGTGGTTTAGTTTCGATTCCAGTCTTAAGTTTTCTATCTCGTACTATAAAGTTCAAAAGTTTATTTATAAATAATTTTAATATTTTTTGTTTTCTAATCCTTTTAAATAAAATTTTCAACAATTGTTGGTGAGAGATAACATTAGGAATGACTGAATCTCAGTCGGTGAGGAGAACCGTTGAGGAGGAGGCAACAAGTTCTCTTGGCCAATATACAGATACAGGAAAGGATTACAATAGATTGAGCCTTTCTATACTCGATTTACATACTCTGGATACATCCTCAAATCAAGGCATTAAATCTTCACATATTTTATACGCTATCGTAAAGATCATTTCTTGGGCATATTTCAAGTTTATTCAGGATATATACAAACAAATATAAGAATTGATGTAAAATATGTTAGAAGGGTACAAAAAATCTCATATCCACATACTGGTCCAGGCTTTTCTGAGACCACCTTTGACCAAATCTAATAATCATTTAAAAAGAAATTATCTTTGTAAGTTGCTCCCTCATATAACACTGATACCTTAAAATTTACATGTATGGATCTTACCATCGTGACCGCTTTCGATTTGAATGAAGCAAATGACATCAAAATCACCAATCCTAATTCATTGGTCTTGTATTTTTGTGACCAAATAACAGATAAGAAGGGTGTTAAGGACTAATTTTGGGATTTTGCTGCAAAAACTTCGTTGACACATGATAACTTCATAACTCTATGAACTGTTATTTCTTTAAGAAGATTGAACTGCCAGCCTCTGTAGATGTTCAAAGAATACTTGAAGATTTACATCATCAGTGAAGATAACGTCCATTCCAGAACCCATTTTGTTGTTGTAAGTTGCTGAAGGGTTCAACTTGGCCAACAAGAATCGTGCCTGATTAGCATGTAATAACACATCAGTTGGGCCTAGAATAACAACAATTCAAATAAGAATATAAACAATGTACAATGGGAGTAAAGAGAGCATCGATGGTATGCAGCATACATATAAACTTTAATACCGAGATATGTGGAACCCCATTAGATTACTCTCCAAAAAATCCCTTGAGAAGAGGAGGGGGTCCAACATATATTGGAGAAAGATAAAATATCTAGGTCTAGCAGATATGGGACTTTAAAGGCTAGACAAGCAAGATGTCTCAGAGTGTAGGGTCCAGAGAAAATATGTGTGATATATATGGAACCCCATCAGATTACACTACCAAAAATGCCCTTGAGGAAAGAAGGGGGTTCCAACATGTATTGAAGAGAACGTGTCCAAGTCTAGCCAATGTGGGACTTTAACAAATACAATACAAAAGGAAGAATACAAAGAAAATTAGGCAATGGTTGGATGATAACCTGAGAGCCATGCTGATCGCAAACCACCAATCTTGGGACAGGAAACCGATCACGTATTATCAATTCAGCGTCATCATGTGGAGCTTGCAATAATTGTGCAAATGCCTAGAAAAAAGGACATGAACATGGGTCACACATCAAAATCCGTGAACTTGATGTGGGGTATAACTTCTCTTTTTTTCTTTTTATAGTTACAAGGAATGAAATCAATAAGAGCAAACCAGGTGTTCTGAATGATTCTGATAACCCATGTTTCTCCACTGAGCTATCGTCATTCCGTGGAAAATAACTACACTAAAGTATGAATCTAGTAAAAGGATTCGATCAGCTGAAATGGATGCCACATCAAGCAATGCTGGTGAAGGCAGTGAATTGAATGCATATGAGACTAACGAAGGTTGAATCATGACGGTAGCATTTGTTATGCTCTCACGATTAAGCATCATGCGAAAATATGCAGTCTCATCTGGACTATTATTGAATACCTGTTACATAAAAAAAACATATAGAACAAGCAAATGACCAAGAAGTTCATCAGGATTACATAAAATAAACAATTACACACATTCAGGTATTTATCAGTTTAGAAATGCAGTCTTATACTCTTATTGCTTCTGCTTTAAGACTTCAGCACTACCCAGAGATGGACTTAGAAAATTAAACGATGGCACCATTTAACCGAGGGTGAAAGCTAACATATTTTTAACAATATCTTATATAACTTAGTTGGTTAGTTGCTTGCATTGCCAAAGAAATGTCACGGAAAATGGAAATCCGATTCAGAGCAAGATTCAAACCCAAGCTCTCTTGAAGGGAACACTTTAATCAAACGCCTAAAACCAACCCGGCTGCCTCAAATTTGTTCATAAATGTAGTTTAAAAAATATAGGGACACACAATGAAACATCAGGGTGGCACCCTTCAGGAATGTAATTTTTTCAACTACAACCGGAACCATGAAGTGGTGGCCCGTGCCACTATATGCCCGTATGTAGGTCTACCCATGGAACCACCTCTTAGTAGTGAAACAAGACTTCAGAGTTCAACACCTTTTAAAAAACAAACAACACCTATGAAATGTATATGAGAGTTTGATGATGTGGATTAAAGGAATGCAGTGGCCTAGTCATTTTACCTGCACAAATGAGGATCTCCGAAGATTGAACATAAACTGAGGGAACAGTGAAAAACTAGGGTTCAAGGAAAATGAGGATGGATCATCTTTCCGGTAGTCACCAAATCTAGAACATAGACGAATGAGATTTCTATCTAACCACCTTGTTGCATCAAATGTTTCCTGAAATTATTGACAATTCATCAATGAATGTGATTAATTAAGAAAAATATCAAGTGAGAGTTAAATTGTAGGAGTACCTCCGTTTCCATTTTATAAGAGGTTAATCTAGCCATTACTACAGCAGCTGTCTCTTGATCAAAACTTTGCATTAATTCCTGTGAAGAAAATTCCTCTTGATAAGGTTCAAAAACACGTTCAGATTATAAGATGGATATAATGCATTGAAAATTTATGAATCTGAAACCCGTCATACGCTTGTGCATAGAACATTACCATATAACTTGTGTATAAACAAGTGCACAAGCGTACTACACATACAAAGTCCTCGTGCCTTAAATTAGTACAAAAAGATAAAAGGAAATGTTCGAGATCCCAAAACCTGCCACTTCCACCTTTTTTGTAATTTTCAGTTTCGTCCCATGGAATTGCACCTTTTTTAAGAAAGTTTTCATGTTGACATTACTAATTTGGCCGTGATCAAGGGATGTTAACATGAAAGCTTTAAAATAATTGGCAAATGATAGCGGCCAAATAAAGTTTATGTTGGCAACCGTGATTAAACATGTTTCTCTGTATTTTATGAACAAGGCAGTAACTACTCTAAATGCAAAGAACACACTGTTAATCAAACAAAGATGTTACTATTTTACCTCAGAAACAGAGGAAGTCTCTATCCATCTTCTAGTAATGGTAGTAACCCGCAACCTCAATTGTCCATCAATACTATGGTAGCTGCATCAAATTTCATGATCCCTAAATATCAATTACACATGTTCTCCTTTATCAAAAAAAAAATTACACATGTTATTTGTGTTCGTTTTAGAGTCTTATCAAGACTCTAAACTTGTCTACTGTGAAGTGGATAAGATAATATATTTTCCCATGTACTTTGAAGGGATGGTTACATCAATATATATATGTTAAACCTCATAATTCATAAAGTGAAAAAGTAATGAAAAACAATAAGTGATGAAGAACCAGAAGACCGATGGAGACATCCGGGCAGAATTGACTAAGTCTGGAGCACAACCAGAGGACCGATGGACGACCAAGGATGCGATGGAAAGAGCATGTTCATCGAACCTCTGGTCAACTACACTTAGTATTTTCCAGCAATTCATCCAGAAGCATGCAATGAAGACTTAAAGATAAGGATGATCCATCATACCATGAATGACAGCTGGAGATGACAAGTCAACAGCTAGATTTCGAGTTTATCTTAATTACTAAWGTTTATCCATAGTTTAGATAATCGTTATCTGTTATTAGAAGATTAGCTAAAAAGTCTCATTAGATAGTTATCTTCTTATTAGTATAAATAGGTGATTAGGCCAATTGTAATCTAAGTCGCTTTTACGTTTTTATTATTAAAAAAGTGAAATCTTTGACACTCAAGATTGTTCATAATTGTTCATAATTTCTTCTTGAGTGTTCATCACTTTGTTCATCAAATCACTATAATTTGGTTATTATTAACTAGATTATTAGTGTTACTGAGAGAGCTGTGATCAACAATTGGTATCAGAGCCGATTGATTGATTTTCTAATCAAAACGATCAACCAAAAATCTCTCAATTTTTGACCTTCTCTCTCGTCAAAACACAAATCCATCTCTTCAAAATTCTCAATGGCCAACTGGAATTCCACTTATAGTGTTGGCTCTCTCACCAAGCCTCCAACTCTTCAACGAGAAGAATATCCACAATGGAAGATCAGAATGGTGAATTTCTTGGAAGGAATGGACAAGAACCTCCTGCGATCTGTAATGGAGGGTCCTTACATTCCACAAACTCTTGTCCCAAGAGTTCCAGGAATAACACCACGGATGAAATTCCTGCCTATTAAATGCCCAAGGATGAGAAGAATTGGGATGAAGACGACATGGAAAGAGTAGAAACAGACAAGAAGGCCAAACGATTGATAATCATGGCCATACTCAATGAAATCTTCCAATCCCTCGACGCATGTTCCACAGCCAAGGAACTATGGGATGAACTGGCAAGCCAACTGGAAGGAGGAGCAAAAACGAGAAAAAATCGTAGAGCACAATGTCTCAACGAATATATTAATTTCAAGGCCCTTCCTGATGAACCAATACATAAGACATATGATCGTTTTAACACATTGATCAATCAATATCGTCGAAACGATATCTCCAGAACTAAGGAAGAAAACAACGTTTTATTCCTAAAAAATCTGGGTGATGAATGGACTCAGCTGTCTATGTCCCTTCAAGCAAACCAGGACCTAGACAGCTGGTCACTTCATGATCTGTATGGAACGCTTGCAGCACAAGAGAACGACATAATGAAAAAAAAGGTTTCCATTGGTGGACCTCTTGCCCTTGCTGCCGATGAAAAAAGAAAAATCAAGGACCTCTACCAAAGAACATAAAAAGAAAGGCAAAAAAACATTGGTGGTAGAATCAGAATCTGAAGAAGAAACTTCTGAATCAGATGATGAAATTAAAGCTTTTGCCAAATCTTTGGCCTTGATCACAAAGCAGTTCCAGAAAAAGTTCATCAAGAAACCGTATGAACGAAAAGAGTTCAAGAGGGAAAGGTACCAGTCATCGTATGAGAGGAAGCCATCCAAATTTCATCAGAGGGAAGACAGAAGAGATGGGAGAGAAGAGAGAGAAGAAAGAAGAGAAGACAAAAGAGACGAGAGGAAAGAAGACAAGGATGCAAGGAAAAATGACCTCCGATGCTTCAGGTGCGGAAAACTCGGTCATTTTTCCAAAGAATGCAGAGGACGATTGGTAAAGGATGCTGACTATTACAAAAACAAATACAAATATAATTCCAGAGAGCGAAGTCTGATGGCTGAGAAAGAAAATTGGGTGTTCGATTCTTCATCAGACGATGAAGATAAAGCACTCATCTGTTTGATGGCCACGTTCAATGCAGAATCCGCCCACAACTCTGATGATCAGGTACGTGAGTCTACCTCCAATGAAACCAACTCTGCCCCATCGGAGCTAGAGTTAAGGGTAATAAAACTTTCAGAGGATTTCCTCAAATTAAAAGAAAAATTGAACTTTGAAAAATCTGAAAGATTAAAAGCGGAAAAAGAAGCAAGTTTCTACAAAAGAGAAACTAACCTTCTAACCGAAGAAAAAGCTGAACTTGCAAAGGAAAAGACTCGCATAAGCACTCTTAAGAAATCAGAGGAAGATAAACTCTTGGAATTAAACAAACGAATAACTAAGGACCTAGAAAGAAAACAAAGGCCTTAAAAGAATCCGAGGCAGAGAGACTAAATTCAGTAGCTCTTAAAGATTTCTTTCAAGAAGAACGGGAAATACTTCACCAGAAGCTTCAAACCAATGAACTTCTGATGAAGAAGTATAAAGATGCCCAAGACGTTTA